ATAAGCCCCCTTTTGTAATCTGGCTTTTAGTTAAACACAGACTTGATCTCTTATCTCCTCTGATATCAAATTAAATGTCCTTCATTATTGACAGATATTTGTCTGGATAATCTTACCCTCAGTGTCTCAATTTCTGTAAAGCCTTCCTTGAACACCCAAGACTGATATACACACACACACACACACACACACACACACACACGTATATATGTATATATACATATACACACACACACACACACACACACACTCCTTCTGTATCCCTGTATGGACAGCAAGTTTTCAATAAATATTTATTGCTATTAAAGTCTCTGTTTACATGGAAATCTATTAATAGCTATAACTAATTATTGCACATTTGTATGTTTAAAAGAATATAATGGCAACAAATCTATACTTTTAAGATATGAGAATTATACGAGGTGTTTCAGAAAAAGGCTAGTCATTGTTAATATAACAAGAACAGTTTTCATGACATACAAACCTGGCAGCCAAAGAGAGTGGACTGAAACCCACATGCGTGAACAATGATGACTTTGCTGTACTAGTCAGTGGTGGCAGGAGACGCCATAGAGTGAGCCTGTGTACTGTTTGGTCATCACATTCAAAATCACTGAGAGAGTAGAGCAACAAATCTGCATCAAATTTTGCATTAAGCTTGCACATTCCTTCATGGAAACTATCTGGATAATTTAGAAGGCCACAGCTATGAGCAACTGGTGATTGGCAGCTTCGTCACAACAAGGTACCCACTTACGCATCATATTTCATAAAGAATTTTTTGGCAAAACATCAAAGCACCCAGGTGACTCAGCCTCCATACAACCCATATTTGGTGTCCTGCCATTTTTGGCTTTTCCCAAAACTAAATCACCTTTGAAAAGGAAAAGATTTCACATAGTCTATGAGATTCAGGAAAATATGACAGGGCAGCTGACGGTGATTGGGAGAACTGTGTGAGGTCCTAAGATGACTTGTTTGAAGGGGACTGAGGCAACATTGTCCTATGTACAATGTTTCTTGCACCTGGCATCTTCTTCAATAAATGTCTCTGTTTTCCATATTATATAGCTGGACACCTTCTGGACAGAACTCATATAAGTATTGCAATATCATACTTTGACACATTAGTGAGAAAACCTTTCTTTAACATTGAAAAGGCTGCTTTTTCATAAAAATGGAGATTACAAAGAACAAGCTGTGTTGTCTATGACAACATACTATGACAACAAATTATGTCTATTGTCATAGACAACACAGCAATACTAAAAGAAAAAGAAGAATGTATAACCTATTGCTATGTTACTAACATAAAGTGAAGTTTGTGGAATACAGTGCTATTTAGTGTGTCTTGTACTCTCTGGAAATTCAGGAAAATGGTTTTCCCTGGGGACTTTCACGCACAAGTAATAAATAGTGAAAATGAGTTTGACATTTCCCGACACCTCACTGCTTCCAAACCTGCAGCATTTTAATAGAATTTAAAATTATGCTGACTCTCATTCCCTGTCATAGGAGTACCTGATCTGGTCTTTTAGTTTAATTTTTCATTAGTGTTTATTTTGATTTTTATTTTTCAAAATTTCTTGTAAAAATGAAAATAAAGGGTTTTAAAATACATTAATGTGTCAATTCTCCCCTTCGAGATCTGTAAACAGTGCAGTCTTTGCTTCATACCTAATGAATTAGCCACTCAGAACACCATTCTCCCCTGTCCTGGAATCTGTACTTTATTATCAGACCTTCAGTTTTCTTGCACAGTCACTTCAAAGCCTGATCAAGATGCAGAGCAGAAAGACAAAATATGTACAGCTAAAGAATATGAGTAGTATTGTTGACATCATCTCTAGCGTTCAAACATTTTAAAAATCTGCCAGATACATCCTTAAGGATTCTTTCCACATGCATACAGAGAAAAAAAATAACTAAATTTTATTGAATTATTTTAACAAATTATTATAATGAAACACTCTAATTTATATTTAACAATGGCTTTTTTTTTTTTTTGGTATTTAAAAATAACTTCTGGGCTCACTCCATGCGGTAACACAATGTTTTTGCAGTAAGTTCAGCTCAGTGGTTTGCCCATGGCTCTCTTGGGTTTTACTTGTTGTCCTGGCATTACTATTAATAGCCCTCCCTTTCATGTTCCAAGTATCACAGTTTTAGCAATGGTACTGTCTTAATTATAATGTGTGTAGATTATTTTCCATCTCTCTCAAATATCTAATTGCCTTGAAGTTAGATACTCCCAACAACAGAAAGAAACAAAAAGGATAGTGATTACTATTCCTGAAGGTTTTTGGTTTTCCCTGTGGGTCAAACTTGGACTGACTAAAATCTCATTTCCTACTTAATAGTTTGCCCTGGATGGCATCATGACAATTTGCTTAGCTTCTCCTGACTAATCCCTCCTGCCCAGCAGACCCGGGCAAGAGACCATCCATGTCATCATTTTCTTCCTTATGCACCAAGAACGCTGATGCGGATTAGGATTATACTAGCCTTGAAAAGCTCAGAATATATTCAGGCTTTCATGAATGTGTTCAGATGAATTGTGTTTCCCTCTTCTCTACTTTACCATATGATAGGATTTGGTGACAATCGTGGCAATAATATTTCCTTTTCTAAAGATCAAACTTCAACTTTCTTTTTCCAATCAGATTTATTTAAAAAATTAATTATTATATTAATAAATACATATGAACTTGGTTAATTAATAATTAAATTAGTAAATTCATTAAACTGATTTAATACTCATGAGCCTATCCTGATTCTGAAAAGTATTTCTATGTATACTCACATACTCACATATATAGAGATTTTAATCATAGGAAAAGTTTATATACAAAGTTTATATAAGTCTCATATGAAAGTTATTGAAGGAGCTGCTGGCATCTGAAATCCCATATTCAGAGAAGAATTTTTGTAAAGGCAATACACTAGACAATCAAATCTGACCAGCATATGTGTGCTATTTATTAATTTTACACTTTCAAAATAAAAAGAAACAGCCCTGGCTGGTGTGGCTCAGTGGATTGAGTGCTGGCCTGTGAACCAAAGGGTCATTGGTTCGATTCCCTGTCAGGCTACATGTCTGGGTTGTGGGCCAGGTCCCCAGTAGGAGACATGTGAGAAGCAACCACACATTGATGTTTCTCTCCCTCTCTCCTTTCCTTCCTTTCTCTCTAAAAATAGAGAATAAATAAAATCTTTAAAATAAATAAGTGAATGAATGAATGAATGAATGAATAAATAAATAAGAAGAAACATTGGTTGTCCTTAAATAACATGAGATTTTGTGTGACAATCTTGATTCCTTAGTTACAAAAAACCGTAAGATCTCCAAACATGAACCCACATACTACTTGGTTGTGAACAACTGGCTGTGCCACTGGTCTCCCATTTTCCCAAGATCAAAATAATCCCACTATCATACACTCTGCCTTTCTCATATATATATACACACACATATATATAAATATATATATATATTGCTGTCTCATTTTATTTGCGTTTGTTTTTGAAAATCTTATAGAAGACTTAATTTCTAGGTAAAATGTAAGTTTGCCAGAAAAGAATTACCCTTTATCCTTAAAATTAGTGATAAGGAATATATCAGTTTATTCCGGAGACCACACTTCGATAAAAGAGAAAGTGGGATGAATCTAAAGAAATGATGTCCTTAAGGAAAGAAACAGAATGACATCTGTGGGGACCAGAGCCCCAGTCACTGCAGCAGTGACTCCAGTACTAGAAGGATATTAGTGGTGGGTCGGGGGTCAGTTGAGCTTTAAAATGTTTTAGATATGACTGGCTGTGACGGTGCCCTTCATCACTCAGTATATATAACTCCCAGAGACATAACCTTTATGGAAAGGGTACCCAATCAGTATAAGACCTTATTAAGTTAAATATTTACAAGAATTATACGCCCTGACTAGAAACTTCAAATATTTAAATTCCTCCATTCTATAATTCTAACATATTACTTATGAAACTGAAAAATATGTTTTCTCTATTTTCATATTAGAGTTGCTGATAAAATAATCACAAGAACATTTTCTTTAAAAGAGTATTTGAGAAAGAAAATTTCTCCTCAATATGATACCATACATTTAGTAAAAGAGAAAAAGAATATATAAATTCTCCACCAAAAAACAGAAGTCTCTTCTGGAGGGCAGGCCCCTTAAAGTACATGCTTCCCTGAAGGTGAGTATTCTTGGAACCCGTCTGTATCAGTGTACCAGTTGACGTTGTGGTCAGAGGCTGCCTTTGGTTTTAGCAATTTTTTTTGAAGATTTTTTCAGTGTGTTTGCCCATTTCATGATGGGTGATTTACAAGTGCACCTGCCCACGCCATGCTGAGTGTTGAGCAGTTTTTGAGCCAAAAAAAAAAAAAAAAGCATGACCCCTGTTCCTCACCTTCCCTATTCACCCAATCTCACCCCAAGTGACTTTTTTATGTTTCCCTGATGAAAAAAGTCCTCAAAGTGAAATGTTTTGCTGATATGGAACAGGTGAAACAAAAAACGGCAGAAGACAAAAAGACATCAAAATCGACAAATTCAAAAACTGTTTTGAGCCATGAAAAAATGTCTCAATAGGTGTATTTCATTAAATGGAAAGTACTCTGAAGGTGACTGAAATTCAAACATGTAAGAATAAATACACAATTTTTAAGGAATAAATTGTTTTTGGTCCCCTCTCATATACAAAAATATAAATATATATATATATACATACATACACACACTTAGTATATATTCAATGTATATGATTCTAATGTTTTGTGGCAACACATTTGTTATATTAAAATTATAAACTTTTGTTTTCTATAAACAGATAAAGTATAATTTAACTTTTATTAACAAAAGTCAGAATCTAAAACTCGATACATGATAACCAATTAAAATGCTGACAGGAGTTTGAATTATTTCAATCATTCTTAAATTAGGATGTCCAGACCACACCTCTCAGAGCTGACCCAAATGCATTACCTTTGTTGCAGCGTCAAAGCAGATAAATCCTGTGCTAAAGTCAATTGTGAGTCCCATTAGATGACTTTCTAGCACACATGCATATGTCTTGCACTAGATGAAATAGAAAACACTGTTACTTATTATGCAATTGATTTAATATCAGTATTAATAGCTATTCTTTATCCAAGACTGTGTGGAAACTTCTGTGATAAGTTCTTACTTATGTAATAGCTAACGATAGCAGCAGTGATCATGTAAGGTAGCTATTATTATCAATATCTTAATGTTAATAAAACAGAAGTCATGTTGTTTTTGACCTTCCAAGGGGTATGCAGGGCCAAGTTCCCAATCTTTTTTAAAGGACTCTTTTTCTTGGGTTCCATGCAGGCTCCCCTGCTATAGTAGCAATAAAACTGGTACAAAAATTTTTAGGTGTGGGCAAGATTATGAAGTTGTTAGGTCCTCCAACTAAATATCATTGCATTTTCATTAAACCAAAGATGAATTATTAAAGATTAAAGTATTATTCAAATTCTTGACATGTCAATTTTATAGATACTATTAAAAGAGAACTGTGAGGCACACAAATAAATTGTGTAATGAAGGCAAAAAATACAAAAAAGAGCTTGACCTTAACAGTCTCTATATGTTCACTCATGTGGCACGAGCTATTTCCCAAAGCCATTTACCACTTATTATTATTTGCATAAACTGTTGATTATTCATAAAACAACAATCAATGACTTTTCACATTGAGATAGATTAATTATAGTTCTACTTATATAAAAATTTTGGAAAGACATAGAATTTAGATACTAAAATATGATAATAAATGAAATAAACATGGGGTTTATATACAACACAGTACATTTTTATGATTATAGGCCAGTTCAATTTGCATTCAACTGCAAACTGTAAGTGGGATTTAAATAAAGAAAAATAATTGTAATTAAGGAGAAAGAAAAAGAGGGAGAGAAATCTACCTTAAGCAAATTTTCAAAAGCAAACCTTACATCATACTGGTTTTTGTAATACTGTAATTCAACAGTGCATTGAATTAATTACTTTCTCACTATAATGATGAATAAATGCTTTTGCCTTCACCAAAAAAGCTGTATTCTATATACATATGTTTAAGCCCAATTTGCATAGGAAAGTTATAACCATGGAAAATTATTCATTTGGAATTAAGATTTTCAAAAAAGAGGATTAGAAAACAAACTTAATAGGCTCTTTAAATTCATTTTGGGTGTGATTTTATCTAATACATGAGGCTATTCCATGCTTGCATCTACCTATTACTATTTTGTTAAAACTATTATCAAATCAAGGAATGTTCAAGTTTTCCTCCAATTTAGACATAATTATTTGCTACTTTCAAATGCTATCATTTAAAAATACACTGTCTCATGGAAACATGAAAAATTACAGAACTTTAAATTTATTTCTTTAAGCTCATAAATACAAATTAAATTACATTGTCTCAATAATCATAAATGAAAATGATATAAATTGAGACATACTGAAATTTAATGTTATATAATCAAAATAAGCATATATAATGATACACTTAATATATTTTAATATTAAAATATTTGATTTGATTTCTATGTTTTATTTATAATAAAATTGAATTATAGTTAGGAAAAAAGCAAAAACATTATGTTTTTTAGGGAAGATCAAATTAAAAACACTTTGAAAGATTTTTGCACAATTATATATTATTACACAATATTTGAAGATACATCACACATACAATACTTGTTAATATGTTCTTTCAGATGACAGTTAACTGCTTTAGCTTGAAAAAACACATATGAGTTTGAAATAATATTCATTTAAGAAAACCAGTTTTTGAAAGTATTATACTTTTTCTTTAAAAAATTATTTTAAAAAAGTTATATTTTTTCCAAATTGAATTAATGTAAGTTCAAAACAATTATCTACTTCTCACTAGTACTTATTCACTTACTCTTGGAAAATTGTTCACAAATAAGACAAACACAGGTACTAGAAATAATGTAAATGAATTAAGCCCTGTTTGGTACTTTTAATACTAGAAACATATTGTAAGATTTTATTTATATAAAATTTTATCTTTTTGTTATAATTTTCCAAATTTTGAGGTGTTAATTTAAAAGACATTGTAAAATGTTTAGAAATGCCCTGCATTCAATGAATGCCTTCTTAAAATAACTATAATAATATTTATATCATTATTAAGTATATTAGAGATGAGAAAATGTGTAAGTAGGTATAAGAATAGATTAAAAACTATGAAGTGTTAGGGTGCAATCTCATTTATGAAAACCAGTTTTAAAATGAAATATAATTTTATTTCTTAATTCTTTAATTACATTAGTCAATTCAATAATTTTCCATGTTTCTGCTTATTTCACAATAGGCCCTATGTTCCCCCTTTATTTTATTACTTAATCAAATTTAGTAGTAGTGGGACTATTGTGAACATAGAAGGAAACACTAATATTTTTCATGTACATATGTTCATATCTTTGAATTTTGAAAATAATACTACCAAAGTGTTGAGTCATCGACTATTGATTTTTGATACAGTAATCAAAATAAATATTGTTATATTATTGTAGAAAATTTCTACAAGAATTGACTGGGAAATTATAAAATACATTTAAAAATCTAAAGCATTTCCTGGCTGGCTCAGTGGATTGAGCGCTGGCCTGCTCACTAAAGGGTCGCTGGTTCAATCTCAAGCCAGGGCACATGCCTGGGTTGCAGGCCAAGTCCATAGTGGGGAGCGCACAAGAGACAACCACATTGATATTTCTCTCCCTCTCTTTTTCCCTCTCTTCCCCTCTCTCTAAAAATAAATAAGTAAAACCTTTAAGAAAAATCTAAAGCTTAAAAGGCATTAAAAATTTTATTTTTTAGTTACTCTGTGTATCATAAATTGGTATTTTGAATAAATAAGATGATAGTCCAAAGAAATGCATTGCTCAAGATATCAGCTTACAGAATATGAATCCCAGGTTTTAAAAAAAGTTTTGAAATACAGTGAAACAACATAATTTCACCTCTCTTATTTCTAAACTTCAGGAGTCTTGAAATGAAATGTTAAATTGAGAGGCCAGCAAGTTGAAAACACCATGTAGCTGTTTCCAAGAAAAGTGTGATATTTTAGGGAAATGAAGATTCAAAATACCTAAAAATATCAGTATAAATTTGAAATTGAAAATGTCAATGCTTATTAAAATATTTTAATATATAATCTTTATTATATTTTTCTATTACCATTTAACCCCCATAGACTCCTTCCCCCCAGCAATCACCACACTGTTGTCCTACTATAAAATAATCTTAGATATTCATACTTGAAACAAAATAATAAGATCCTTTCTTTCTATATATGATACTAAAGTATTTTCTGTATTGAGGTTCTATACAGTTAAATTATGAAAACAATATTTCTCAGTTATTTAAACATCTTGGATATATGCAGATTAGCAGAAATATTAGAAAACAGTAAATGAGAAATGAAACAAGTGAAATTTTAGTCTTCTCCCTGTTCTCTTCCCCTGATTTTCATGTCAAATGTGTGCAACTTGATGTACTGAATACAGAATTGTAATCAGAAAAAAAATTTAATAGATGTTACAAATCAATTTAATACACCGGAAAAAAATGCATCCAAGTATCCTAGTGCAAACAAGCATTCCAGAACTATTAAAAATTATTTAACTATTTTCATATATTTGTTTCCAAAAGTAAGTATTTACTTTTGTGTTTATTTAAGTCCTAGCTCTTAATCCATCTGCATGTGGCATGTGCATCGTTAACTGTATAGTTTTGTCTGTTATCAGTGGCAGAGCGAATGTTTGGTAGCCTGATCCATTTCATGGTTCTGTGAATTGGAGAGGCTGAAAGTTCTATAAAGTTTGATTAGCTATAACTTTATGCTTAATAAATAAAGTTTAATAATTGTCTTTTGAATACTTGTGATGTACAAAATGCACTATAGTTGCTACATGAATAAAAACATCTCAAATAAACTATAACTCAGTGTGAGCAATGTCAAGCACACATCATTCCAATAACATGACAGAGAGAGCAGAGCTAAGAAAATAATACTGTTGACAAAACAATGTAATATTGGTGTTCATAAGCCAGGGGTGGGGAGCCGGGGGTGGGGGTGTTAAACAGAATTGTTGTGGATGGAGTAGTGTTAATGAGTAGGCAGAGTAGCCTGAAAATTAGAAAAATCTTCATGGATGATATGATCCATGAAAAATTTTCCAAGTCTGCATGTAATTTTGAAAGGTAGAAATGAAGTGAAGGCTTTCTAGCAAGAACAGCATTATGAGTGAATGAAGCCATTTAGCTGAAAATCAGGTAGGTTGTCATGATTGGAGAACAGGAAACAGTCTTGTAAAAGATTAATTAAAATCAGAACATTTTCATTTAGATTTAAAATGGAGCTGAATCTAATTAAAATTACCAATATACTTTTGATGAGTGGTAAGAAATAGCCTAGAGTGATCAAACTGTAAAAAAATTAAAATTTTCAAAACTGCATTACTATTCACTTAATTACAATGGCTAATTATCAAATATATTTGAAAAGGAAGTCAAGACTCAGAGAACTGTATTTTTATACAAATTTGAATTTATATGAGAACTCTAGGTGAGTGCATGCAACTATGTGAGTCACAGACTCTAAAATTAGACAGACTCCCACCTGTATCCTTTCCACTTCCAGAAACGTTGCTGTTTGGAAGGCTCTTTCCCACTGGGCAAGGTCACAATCTAACTCCACAGAGAAGTAGAGGTCCTCTCCAGTCTCAGACTGCACAGTGAAACAGTGTTTCCGCCGATCCAACAGGTCACTGTCCTGATGAAAACCTGAAGTTACACAGGCTGGCATACATCAATTCATATTGCTAACATGGTCATACCTCTTAAATCAATGTCAATTAATGCATGGTGGAGATGCCAGTCATCAAGAGTACACTCCATGATATCACTAAATTTCATTCAAAATGGTCACTGCTCAGAAGGTGACTAACTTTGGGTGATGAGCATACAGGCAATACATAGAGGATGTATTATAAAATTGTATACTTGAAACCTATATAACTTTATTAAACAGTGTAACCCCAATAAATTTAATTTAAAAAGGGTCAGCCAAAATTCCAGGCCTCAAAGTCCATGACTAACACATTTCATCTCCTTATTGACATTGAAGCTCGTCTGTAAAATGGAAGTTAGGATTTCTGGCTTCAACTTTTAATAGCAATGTTTCTTACTGTACAAAGAAATAACATACAATCTCCATTTTTTTCTTACAGAACTGTCAAGCTGATGAAATTAAATAGAGTGTGAGTTTGGCCCCAAGAAAAATAACAGGTTCCAGAATACTTTTTGTGCATTGGAAAATATCATCTAAAAATGAAAACAAAATATTAGCTAAGCATACATTTGTGCATTTTTCTCATGTATGACATCTCCTTCAGAAGTATTTTCTGGTCTTTCAGGTTTATTCCAAGTATCATGGATATTTTCTGCAGACTAATAACCAAATATTGCCATTTCTGGGATATTACTCAGATTTATAAAGCAATATTACACAGAAACGACATATTACAAATGTTTTTGCTAATAATGTATATATTCTTCTAACATATTCAGATGTCAACAGGCATAAGCAAAGTTTTATTCTTAAAAAATAAAACCTGTATTTAGAATAACTATTGACCACATTGATATCACTAGGCACAAATTTTCTATTATACTTAAAATACATAAAACTAAAGGCAGAAAAAGTTGCCTAATATTGGTGAGTTATCCTTATGGCAAGCTTCTGCATATATAGGTATAATTTCTTCTTTCCTTCCCATTACAGTTATGTAGCCCAATAGTTGTTAATATGGCAAGTCACAAAAAAAGCGACTTTACAGAACACAAAAATCATCAATAATAAATTATTTTCTTCAGGTTAATGGCATTTTTGACATTAAAAATGCAAGTTAAAAAAGGTAGATGGAAGAAATATTTTTATATCACATTAAATATAAATTTATAAACTATATGTCTAAATTACTGTTTTTATTGTTATGTTTGCTACTGTTTCTTTTACTTGAACTTGTCCTGAATCAAGAAATCATTCAGTCATTATACATGAAGTTAGTTAAAAGTAACAAAAACTGTGATGTTTTTATGAAGAAGGAGAGCAAACAGGGTATATTTTTTAGCAATAAATGATTATTTTTTAAAAATTATTCTAATAATTGAAATGAAAGGAAAAAAATACCATCAAAATTAAATCCTGCCAATTAATTTTGAATTAGAATTTTGGGAATAATCAAGTCTCTAAAGTGATATGAAATCTACATCAAGCCATATACAAATAAATGATAGTTTTAATAACCTATTATACTATTTTTTATTTTTATAAAATATTATTCTTAATATCGTTGTGTAGTGAAAATTTTGAAATAAGTCAAAATATTTTTAGGAATATTTTCTACCATTATGTGTTTCAAAAAAGAGATTTAAGAATCGGACTCAAAATATTACAAATCTAATCCTGTACATCACAGAATGAAAAGAATATTTGTATATAATTCAGACACTACGATATATGTGGGAAAATAGCATTTATTTTTAAGTTACATTGTAACAGAGTGAAATGCTGGATCTCTCTGACTCCATTCTCTTCAAGCCCGCATTGTTCCCCTGTCCTTCACTCAGACGTGCTCATCAGAGAAATTCTGCTTGTGACAGGTTTAGAAAAAACAATCCCTCCCCTTTGTCCCCCACCCACTGTTTCATAAAGAAGCCTGAACTCTGGACTTAGGGTGGATTTGAGGATCAGATCTCTCCTCTTCTTTGTTGGTGCCTTCTCAATCAATCAACCTTTTCTTACTCCCAAATTTGGTGTTTTGAGTTTTGGCCTTTTAAAGCATTGAACATACAGAATTTGGAACAGTAACAACATTAACTCAATAATTATATAATTTCCGCTTTTTGCTATTTTTGCTATGTAAAAATACATCAAATGTGAAAGTGATGTCGATAAATTTGAATATTTTCATTTTTTATACCTATAACAGGTACCAAGATATCAAAATCACTTTTCTATTAAAATGTCACCTGATGCCTGCCAGAATAATTACTTTGAATATCACTAAACTTGTAAATTATTATTTATGTATTCACAGGCAAATCTCATGATCTGAAAAGTAAAAGTGTTTAACTTTAGAAAACTATAATTTAAATTAAAAAATAAATTAAAATTCAATACATTTTAGGTATTAAAGTTTCATTTAAAATAAATCCAAATGAACATTCCATATACATAAATGAATTCATTTTTCTAGATATTAGTTGTCTTATCAGGGAAAAGAAAAAATAGAACTTTAATTTTTCTGCTTCTTAGGAAATTTGAATTCCAATATAAACGGACACAAAGCAAACTTTAGAAAAACAACAGAACGCATATCTTTCAAATACAGTCTCTAAATTAATCTTTATAATAACCCATCAAAATAGTCTATCATCTTCATTTCCCTGAGGAGGTAAATAGGTCTTTCAGACATTAGCCACTTCCACATTTTAGAAGCTCTTTGGTATAAGGATTAAAATTCATTATTAGCTTGGAAGTCATTCTGTGCAGAAATAGTGCAGACATTTTAAAAAACGGGATCACAGTAGTTTACCTCAAGGATCTTGTAAAGATTAAATGACTTTAAATGTATATCATTTAGAAATGTGTCTGGCTCATGTTAAGTGCTCCATAATATCACTAATAATTAACAATGTTAGTCATCATTAATACTGAATGTCACTAAAGCCTGGTTTAGATCAAACTCTAAATTCTATATCCCTGTACACATACAGACAAGCACCCCCTCCTTCAGAGTACAGTGTGACATTATTATGTAGAATATAGGATATGTACATTAAGAGAGTCAGAAAGACTCAATTTTTTTAACAAAATTAACACTAGTCACAACAGAAGGGAAACATGCTTGCTGAAGTTGATGTTACATAGGCAAATTTGACTTTTGCTATTCTCTAAACATTTTGTGTGGACTGCATTTATGTGTGTGTCCACAGAGGTATGTGAATTTTGTCCCTGCTTAAAATAGCTTTGTATATGGTAACCCTGATCCTTATAGATATTTGTTTATTATTCCTGTTAATATTTTTATTCGAAGAACATCATATATATTACAAAAAGCTTTTACATACATTATCTCCTATTCATTCTATGTTGAGATGATTAAAGTCTAAAAAGTTTAAATGACTTAACAAGTAAAGATACTGAAAATTCTGAGATTTTTGCAATTTTAATTAAAATGTTTTTTAAAAACAACCATTCACAAATTGAGTGGATTATTGGCATTAGAATGAATATTCTAAGATTAAAATTCTTAGGTTCAGTACTTTATGGGGGAAAAGGCAAGTGGCTTAAATAACGTGGATGTGGGATAATTTCCCCAGACCACCATAGCACTAATAGAATGATAGCTTCAAAGGACAAAAAGTCTTTTTGGAGCATCTCTCTTGGCACTAGAATTTACCTGATTCAGATGCAAATGCATTAACTGATATCTTAGAGCAAAACCAGCATTGTTTTTTGTGCCTCTTTTAGGTAAGGGATACAATGACCCTAACCAACTTCCTGTCCTTCCAGCATGCTCCTCAGTTGCAGAATCCATAACAATCTCCTTGTTTAAATCCATCCACCAGCATAGCTTAAGCACCTTGACTGACTTAATATGTGTTTGAGTTAGCTTTCCACAGGACTTGGAGAAGAAAAAGGAAGAGTTTCAGTGAAGACAACTATGTCTTCACTGCCCATGTGGAAAAGTGCTGTGCCCCTTCAAAGGAAGAATGTTTTTTTATATAATAACTTTTTTAAGTTTATAAACAATATCATATAATCAAAATAAACTTTTATTATGACATTTGATTTGCATTCATGATTTCTTATTTAATATACTTGAATATATTTTCATTATTATTTTATTTTTTAATCCTCACCTGAGGATATGTTGATTACTTTTAGAGGGACAGGGAGGGAGAGAGAAAGAGAGAGAGAAAAAGAGGGAAACTTCAACCAGTTTCCTCTAGTATGCACCCCAACCAAACAAATCACAATCTCAGTATGTGTCCTAATGCGGAATCGAACCCACAACCTTTTGGTATGGGATGAGCTCTAACCAGCTGAGACACCCAGCCAGGGTAGTTTTCATTATTATTTTTACTGATATTAGCATTTTCTCTATGATGTTACTATTGAAATAAACAGGAAATTTACTGCTATAAATTAGCATTACTAGAAAGAGAAAACAAGAGACAAATGAAACAAAATTTAATTTCTTATAATATTATTAAAACAGATGATTTACAAAATTACCTGTTGAGATTAACAGTTTTAATTAATAGTTAATGACTCTCATATTCCAGATTTCAATTCTAATATTTTACTTCTGAGGATAATTACATTACACTAAAAAAAAAAAAACCCAAAAACCTTTTAAATCCATACTTAAAACTTTTCTGGAAGAGTATAATGTTTTCTGTAGAAAAGGCTTTCTAGTGGAGAAAAATATATACTACTTCTTAGTATACAGTAATTATGGCTGGTCATTTAGTCCTGCCTTCAAGAACCAATTCAAATAATCCTACTTTTAAATATCTCCAAAGAATGAAATTTTTTTTTAGTTTCTTTTTTTTTTATTTTAATTAATTAATTTATTTTTTCAAATACATTTGTCTCTCCCTACCCCCCACCACTTTGCCTTGCCCCCTCCCTCAACTCTTCCCCTTTGGTTTGGTCCATGAGTCCTTGCTATATGTTCCTTGACTTTCCCCTTCCCTTCC